TGCCAATTGGATCTCTTGTTTTTCCACGTCCTCGTTGCTGTTGCCGTCGTGGTTGCTTAAGGTCCCTACTGAATTGTTACAAAGGTACTACACTGATCATTTAGGATTGTGCTCTAGACAAGGTTGCTGTCTTATGTCTGAGGCATGAAGGCACTCTGATACATTTTTTTTACAGCTCATCCCACCTAGTGATGGATGGGCACATGAGCCGAGTGTTTAGTGTACAGTTCACACCAGGTCAGGATCATGAATTTCTATCAGGTGGCTGGGACGATACAGTTCAGGTAAGGAACAGAAATTGACTGAAACAAAGTAGTAAAAGATCACGCCTTTTTCATGCAGGGGAGATATAATTTTAAATTTTTTTATGCTAGCTTTTCAAGTTCATTTGATTGTTGCATTGTGTATGATGAGACTTTAATTTTCCCCCATTTTTTTGTCTGTTAAGTTTTGACTTAACCAGCAGTTTTTCAATAATTTTTGTGCAGGTTCCTCTGACATTGGTGGGAAGTCAATATCACCCTATCTTTTCAATACTTGGTCCCAGCATGATTATCTATAAGCTTCAGGCAACAGGTGTATTTGATTTGAATGAAACAGAAATGTTGGGGTTTAGTTTAGAATGTTAGGATAACCTGGCTGGCTGTTATGGTTAAGATTTGTTCATGTTGTTTGTTCTTTTTCAGACTGTGATAAGTATCCTGCCAATTGCCCATTTACTGGATCAAATTGCTCTCTAACTAACAAAATCTTTCTTTTAAAAATAAGTGACCAACAATCAAGGGCACATTTTTACTAATTTTTTTCTTCTTCTTTTGTGGTCTTAAGTTTTGGGATACAAGAGTTGATGCTAAACATTCTGTGAGGTATGATTTAAAATTTATAACTTACAATAGTAATGTAACCTTGGGTTTTTAGTTTATTCTGTAGACTAAGAATGATATCATGAAGAATTATTAAATATTATATGATGGTTTTACAGGAAAATCTTCGGACCTCATATTTGTGGTGATGCACTAGACATTCAGTCACTTAGCGTGTCAAGTACCAGTCGGCAAATTCTTACTGGGTCATGGAGAAAAGACAAAACTCTTCAAATCTGGGATCATGGCTCTGGGAAACTGATAAAAGATGTACCATCTGATTACAATGGAAGTATGGTATGTTAACAGATTTGTAACATGCTGTTAAAGTTATAACCTTATACACCATCCAAACTCCACCAAGATTCCTTTGGTCCTTTGGATATTTGCAAAAGATGATTTAAACCCATACTTTTGTTTGAATTTCAGCACAATATGGTTTTTCTGAGCAACATATGATCTCTCTCCACTTAAGAAACCACATGTTAACCATCACTGCATGGAAAAAAAAAAACAAAAAAAAAAAAACATTTTATTGAACAGTTTGCCTGTAACTGAACTCAGGCACTCAGTTGGAGTCTCTGAGGAAGGGTTTTGTTTGTTTATAGCTCTATTGTGTCCAGTGGCAAGGTCCTGACAGTATCATAGCAGGAGGGAGTGACAATAATATGATGAGATGTGTGGATCAGGGAACTTATCATGTAAGACATAGATATGCTCTATATATAGGTATCAACGCATGCTTTTCATTCCACTAATTTATCCTGGTTTTTCTCGTTGCCATGTTCCCACCAAACACGTAGCTCCTTTTTCTGCCTTTAAAAGCACACACAACCCACAATTCCCCTATTCGCTCCCCGACGTAACGTATAATCGTAACGGTGGCCAATTTACCATTTCAACTTTGTTGATATATTCAAATTATTTCGTTACCCCCACCGACGCAGCCCCAAACAGTTTCTTTAGAAACTATCAGCCTTTATTCATCTATATACTGTACATTGATTACACAGCTACAGGCATGTACTGTACTGGTTATTTTAGGTAATTTTTGTGGCCTTTTAATAATTCACTAGTATTTACAAATAGATAACTCACCATACTGGCCTTGATTATCTTAGTCCTGTGTTCACATATTTAGAATTTTACTTGTCGATGTAAATAATTATTTGTCCTTTATGTAAATGTACACCTGTATTCATGTGATTGTAAAGGGGAACTACATGATAATTTGATACTTTGTGAGTGGGGTGAGGAAAAGTTTGGCAATGGGGTTTTGACCATAAAATAAGGTGTTGTCACGGGCATCCTTCCTCATTTCTTATGGTAACCAAATCTTGAAAGCTATGCATCACTGTCGAACATGAAAGCCAATTGCCACCAGAAATGGAGCCAGTTTCATGTGACAATACTATTTTAGTATCTAAATGTGGTTGCTAAACTTCTGTGACACCACACCAAACTGAAAATCATATTATTACTATGAAGATAGTATTGTCAATTGTAGTCAACAGTACTGAGACTCTTCTGTTGTTTGCTGATCTTCAGACTACTGGGCGGCTTGTAGATCTTCCACGTTCAGTTTACACTGTGGATTTTGAGAGACATTCCCATCATCCAATCATTGCTGCTGGAACTTCCAACTTTGTTTATCTTGCTAAGAGGACATAAGTTGGTTCATCATTTCTAGTTAATTCTAAAAGCTCTCTGAGATATACAGGGAAATTTGTCCCATACGATCAGATATGAATGTGCTTGCATTCCCTCTAGTGTATTACTCCCTTACATAGGCGACAGGGGTACCGTCATAATTGTTACCCAACCCTGTCTTCCCAGTTTCTAAGAAACTTGCAATAGATTTTAGCTATTGATTTTTGGTCTGAAATATGGAAAGGGTTTGATACATTCTTTTTGTAGCACGAGTTTACAATAAGAAATGTTGTTTTCTTATAATTATATTAGTACAAATCTGAATTGGTCCTTACAGACAATCTCCATTAGCAGAGAGTCTAAATGGGGAGATGACTTTAGCAGCTAACAGTTAAAAATTTTGGCTAGTTTATAGCTAACGGTTAATATCCTTCCATTGTTGTCACCAGAATTGTTTTTACGGTTGACTTTTTTTTTTTACCACTAATGGTTAAAATATGTCACTTCTTAAGCCTAACAGCTAAATATTTCTTCATTTTTATGGCTAATGTTTAACCCCATTGAGATCCTCCTGCACTTTTGTGAAAAGGCAAGTTGTGAACTTCTACCGTGAAGTTGTTGAATGTAAATAGTGCAGACTTTTTGTTTAATCATAAATATTAGCATTATTTATAGCAGATTATATATTTTTGATTGACCTTACATATTAGCCAGTTATCAATAATTCCACCCAATTTGATTGAAAAAAAAAAACATTGTACATGAAAATAAATGCTTGAATTAGTAAAGGAAGTATTTTTCTTTCCATGGAAGGAGATTATTCAGAAGAACTAATTTTAACATTGGTTGACATGTACTTTTTGTAATACTTGTTCAATAACAAAGATTTTATCACAGAATGTGAGTTTTGTGAAACTAAAGCCTCCCATTCAAACAGCTTACAGCTGAACTGGGCCAGGTGAGTTAAATACTTTCCAGAATACATTAATAAATACATGTACCGTACATGCATAGAGGTGTGTACATATTATGGATACATTTTGTTTAGTACATGTTAATAATGATAGAAGAAAACAAAAAGGCAGGATTCAAATGTTTCCTCCCTTACAAAATATTAAACCAAAGCTTTAAGAAGTCAAAAACTTTAAATCATTGATTTTTCACTTAGCAATGAAAGTAAACTTTTACTATAGCCTTAGTTTAGTGGAAAATATGCTCAGGTATTTGCCTGTTATAGAAACAGAGCTGTTCTTTTTTTTTTTTTTGTTCGATATGATTACCTCTTGACTCATTATATAGCTTGTTCTGTTTCATGACACAAACAGCCTCTCAATTGAACAATCAAATGAGCCAATAGCAGTTGTCTCATTAACAAAACAAAGTCTTTATTTTCTCTGAACTCAACTACATTGTAGACAAGCTGACACAAAGTAATCTGTGATCATGGAACACAAAATAAAGGACAAACTAATTAATTCAACAGTAATGCCCAAATTAAACTTATTTCCTGGCATGACAATGACTTGAAGAATGAAAAAGCAAATTTTTGGTTTTCCGAGATTATCTTAATGCAAATGGAACAAAGTTACAAGGAAATTGACATTAAAGTGAACTTTAAACTGCTTGGTGCCCATACAGACCTGAAAAATATTGCAGGTACAGTGTACAGTTGGTCAAATGACCCACAGAGGTATGCTTTCTTCAAATAGTGTGACTAGCTAAGGCAGAAGTAAATCTGAAACTGAGCCTGTCTTCCCTTCACTCAGATTCATCATCAATGTAGACAGTCTGCACTAAATCATGGCTCCACTGAATATGTCTAGAATCTAGAGACAAGGTTGTTTCTGCTATTTCTTGATTCCTTCTTTTATATCGCTCCTGTCTTGATCTTGACACATCATACTTTTCCCATCTTTCTAATTGAAGCTGGCGTTTTGCCCTTCTTGCCTGCTTCTGTGCTGGAGTGGAGGGGCGTGGCATATCATACAAAGGACTGTTGGGAGGGGAGGGTGAGTTGTGTTCAGTGTTGATTGTTAGATGAGTATCTGAAAATTGTACATTTGACATAGTGCTCAACTGCCCTAGCATTTCCCACTTGAATCTTGATGATGATCCCTTTAAATTTTTAACTCTGGTCTGTTTTTCATCACCTTGTAGTTTCCTCTTGGGGCACGTCTCTGTCAGACTTGCTTTGGAGACGGAAGTGCAACTCTCAAAAGCTCTGTTATCTTGTTCTATTTCTGAGCGAGTAGACAACGAAGCTGGACGAAATTCAAACCCATCACATTCAGCTGAAGTAATTTTATTTTCTGTCACATCAATTGTCTCTTCTCGTTGAGTTTTCCATTGCTCCTTCACATCTTGAGAATTCGAACATTCACTATTATGGATTTGTACCCTAATTCCATGAGCACCGACTGGGAATGCAAAATCGTGCAACAAAACTATTAAGGATGGCCCCTCACCAGAAAATTTGTTCCTTTTCATCTCACCTGGTTCCTCTTCTAGATTGAGACAATGTAAAGATTCTCTCACTTTCTCCCCGTTTAATCTGTTCCTTGTAACCACCATCTTGCCTCGATTTCCCGCTTTGCGTTTACGAACGCTTCCACCCCCATTTATCGTTGCTTCTTAGCGGATCGCCTAAAGAACCGGTGCCTTTCTCCCAAGAATATTAGGATTTTATCTCTTCTGTGTTTGTATTTCACGCGGAGAAGCGCTCTATTCAGAGTTGTCAAATCAACCCTTAAACGGCCATGTTCTTTTCAAAACAAACTCTTCCGAAGAGCCTGGAACGAGACAGTGTTTGTCCCACTCTGTCCCCGAAAAGTGTCCCGTTTCCCGTATCACGTATCTCCAGCCCGTCAACCAAAGCAAAGACTTATTACCTAGAACCCAATATTTTTACTTTCATTTGTTTAGGTCTGGTATACCGTTGGTAATAATTGACAGCAAAGATTCCTCAAACACAAAAACACCACAGCATCCATAAAATAATCATAAACTTCACCATAAGGGTAAAACTATTTAATATCTTTATTTTATTTCCATAATGAAAACGATAAGCCATATAGAGCTGTCCATTAAATTTTGAACCACTTATAATACACATTACTAGCTCACAAACTTTTTTATCTACATGCACAGAGATACAGCAATTAATTTTTTTTCTAATATACAATAACACTAGATCTGCTATCACCAATTTGAAAATAATTGTAACTATTTTTTAGAGACTTTTCTTAATTTTCATTCCCTTCACATTCCAAACAGCCCGCCATTCATCTGGGCCAAGATGTGTGCGTGAGGTTACCCAGCCAGCCTCTTCAAGGCCCTTAAGGAATGCTGGGAATTCCTGCAAAGTAAAATTATGGGCTAGTGCTACTAAGTCCCAAGAGCAATCAGACAGCTGGTTTCTTTCTGCAATTAAAAAGAAATTAGAAAAATTTTGGAATCACTGTCTCATAACAGATAAAACTAAGAAATTTCTAATCAATGTTGCTACCAGTTTTGGATCAGATTAAGCTTAGTCAACTGTAGGTACACAATACAATTTGGACTTTACTCCCCCCCCCCTCACCCTAAAAAAAAGGAATTTAAATCATTGTTAAAATCAAATAAAATGAAGAGGATCAAATAGTCATTCTTCCTGGATCTAATAAGTATTCAGCTAAGTTATTGATTACTTTATTAAGAAACAGAATACTATGAGAAATAAAATGCATTTCACCCTCTGAAGTTAAAAGCTTATCATGATAAAATAATAGTGTGTACATGTAACATAATTTGAAAGAGTTGATTGGCATGAATTGCAAATAAGATTTCATTGGATTTTCGTGAACTTACCCCGCCACCAAAAATTATGTAGGGCCTCCAATGCTCTTTGACCTCCATCTAAGTCACTAAAAACCTTTCAAGAAAATTATAGGGGAAATAGCAGGTAAATAGAGGTAAAATCAGATTTTTTCACCTTTACAAAATACAAAAATTAAAGGGGGCATAACAAAATACTATCACACAAATATTATCAATCTTATTCTTATTTTAATCTTATTATCACAGAAGCAATCACATAGATATATGTTTGCTGTCTCACTTTACATTTTGTTGATCACTACACATTACAATCATTTATCATTTTCTTTGTAATTAATGATTTTTGTGGCAACTTCTTTGTCTGTATATATGTATAGAATTAGATTGATAGTGAATTTTGAGATGATTTTCAGTTGTATTTGCTTTGTAAAAGGCACAGGATGAAGAAAAGAGCTGAGTTCCCTCATAGAATTGACCCTCAGACCTTTAGAATTGCAACCCAATACTCTACACCACTGAGCTTCCTAAAAGAACTCATTAAGAACTCAAAGGTGGGCCAGGTCATTTACTATGATAAGAGCTGATAGTTTCGAAAGAAACTGTTTGGGGCTGCGTCGGTGGGGGTAACGAAATAATTTGAATATATCAACAAAGTTGAAATTGGTAAATTGGCCACCGTAACGGTGGCCAATTTACCATTTCAACTTTGTTGATATATTCATACTAAATAAGAATCTGTGACCAACCTACCTCAGATTGAACTCTAACTAGTGGCATGTAATGTTGGCATATCTTTACCTTTTTGATCTGTGGTTTTGTGCGTATAACAAAATCAAGAGAACAGGCTTGAAAACAGCTCTGAAGATGATCTTTAGCATTGGAATCTTCGTGTAACACCACATGAACAGCACCTTGATGGGGATGACAATCAGAGAAGAAGTCAGTATAACTTACAACAACAAAAACATTCAAATCTTGACTTTCTGGCTCAATAATTAGTGGCCAATTACAAGCTATTTATAAAACTCTAAATCTTGTGCAAGGAAAAGAGACAATGTCAGGGAGAATCACCTGAATTTCTTCTTTGATTTAATGTTAGTTTCATAATATACAGAGTGCTCTCAGAGTTTGGTAATGCAGCATCAAGATCACTAACACTGAAAGGTACAAAACAATGTTACATTGTCAAAAGAGAAAGCAAGTTAAACTAACAACTCAATATAACATTTGCATTTGAACTAAGGAAGTAACTATACCTATTTATGACGGAAACAATTTCTGTCCCTAAATGAATTCTCAGACATTCCCCTGTACTACGACCTGAAAAATATAGAAACATGCCCATTTCATCATTATATTAAACTCCACGGAACAATCACAGAATCACATGTGGACCAAGCAGTCACATTTATTTCAAGACATTTTACCAAATATAACAGGTTCCCCGCCACCCACTTCCTTTGGAGTCATTATGTGCCCTGTTGACAGGAACTCAGTGACGAGAAGGTGCAGGCGAGGCAGACTGACTGTTTCCATGACAACAGACGACACAGCTCGGAAATTTGCATAAAGGTGTAGAAATGTGAAGATGAAAAACAGAGTCCAAGTGAGGCTGAAATAAAAGAAAAAGCAAGATTAGTGTTATGATAAATCAACAAAAAAGAATAAATTTAAGTTTCTAATTAAAGTTAATCATTATAACCCTTAATTCCCCAAGGTTGACTGGGACCTAATTTTTCTAAACAGCTTTTTTCCTGAATCAGACATTTAAAGGTCCTATGGAAAATGATGGCAAACTAAAGAAGCTTGTGATTCTCAAACAGATACTCCATGTCAGCACCATAGGAAATGCAAATTTAAGATAACAGTGTAGACAATATAAATTTTGATATTAAGGTAATGGTATAAAGGGATAATAAAACAATTTTCTCTGTTCCTCCCAGTCCCAAACTCAGGGAAATTTACAAATGATATGACAATGCAAAGTCTGGCAATTTCAGCAGCCACAAACTCTAAATGTCCAAGATAGATAGTTGCAAATTACAAACCTCTCAAACAAAATCTGTCTTACTGTAAGAGTGCAAGGAAACTGTGAGGGAATGAATACATACTGGTATATATTTTTATAAAAGGATGAGTTTTTAGACTTACAGAGGATTCCCTGAGACCAAAGGTGTGATGATCAGACCAGCTATAAGTGCCATCAGATTTACTAAAGTCTCCTGCATAAATGATGAGCATGGGACAAATAAGGTTGCTTCTAATTAATAAAAAAAAATTACCAACTCAGAGTAGTTTGTTCAATAAGAAACCAGTTAATAATGAAAATCACCTCAGGATTGGCAAGCTGCCTTTTCTGCAGTTTGCAAACACAACTGCATAATAAAAAAAGGGCTTTTACATGCAAAACATGTTACCTGGCTTCCATCTTTAGCAGCAACATCAGCCATGTTGTCCCTTCTAGCCTGGTGCTGAGTCATAGCAGCTCTTGTGGCACCTCCTGCCACGCCCACTATGGACTGGGTTCATTCCACATCCCATCACAAAGAAAAATGAGAGTAGTAGTACCAAACTAGTACCAAAAACTGATTACATTGTTATCAAGGTACATGTGTCTTACTGACATTGCCATAACAAGAAGTCATAAGAAACACAGGTTGCGAAATGTGATCAGTACCTTTGATATACTTGATAAACATGCCAGAAAAGTGAAATATGTTTTAAATAATGGAGCCAACATCTCTATCAGGATTGACGTGTCATTCAGAATATCAGCAAACAATCTATGTATTAAGAAATTCCAAATTACGAAAAAAAAAAAAACATTCATTAGTAAAACAAACCAGTTAGCAGTACTTTTTTAAAAAATATTTATTAAAAGCTTTTATTCATTTACAATATGCATAAATCATAGTTAAATGTTTGAGGTAAAATAGCACACACACTGTTATAGCTCATAAAATTTTCTTGTTTGGGCATTTTTGCCAGGTATATTTACTCTCCCCACCCTGGATGGGATGCTCATCCATTCCAGGTCATCCCTTAACTTTTTTCAGGTTTCACTAACAGTTCACCAGAACTCATTTCTACTCCTGGGTGGAAAGAGGCATTGTGAGAGTAAAATGTGGCCCCCAACAACATAACATAATGAGTCCGCTAGGGCCAGAACCCAGACTTCTCAAGCCAGCACACTGATCATACTGCATCTCCCAAGGACAATCATACTGATTATTTGCACATTGAAGCAAAAAATTATTCAATATTAGGATAACAGCAACACCATAAGTCTGTCCTCTTGTAGGGCATACCTCCATTTCTTTGCATTGCAATCCAAATTACTCCTAAAGGGACAAAACATTAACATCCTGTGATAAATAATATGTTGCAATTATAATTGTTAACTTTCCACAAAGAAAACTTGAGTTGAAGAAAAAGGAGAGGAAAAACCCAAAGAAAAGGCTGATAAACCACTATTGAATGTCATATTGTCTTAAGTTTACTTGCAAGACAAAGGGAAAAGTTGATAATGAAACAAGAGTAACTCAGGGTCTTTTTCATTGCTCTCCCAAAGTAATGTGTTCAAAGTCAGTTTCCGTACCCTTGGAACCATGCAAAAAGAATACTTCCTATCATGCCTGTCCCACCTGAAAAAAAAAATCCACACTAACATCACAATATAAACAGTTAAAATATATCAGATTCTCCTATCTACAATTTAGATACACAAATATCTCGGCAATTGAACTTATAAAAGCAACCAAACGAATCTAAAGGAAAGAAGTGTAGAATTTAGCATTCTCTGCATTTTATTTCAGTTCATTAGCATTCCTTTGGGAATATGTTTTGTTTTTCTTTCCTGAGTTCGGTATAACTTACATGTTGTTAATATTCTAGCCTTTTAGTTTCATCACTGATTTTATCGAGAGAACATCTTGTCTTAAGAGAACATCTGGTTTAGAGCTGCCTTTTCGCGGCCTACAGCGCCAATACAGTGTAACTTCCTAGCTATTATGTTCATTGCGTTCGCTTTAGCCGCCTTTCAGTTTTATATTTCTGCATTTTGTAAGCTTGAATTTTTTGTTGGTTCTTCATTAGTTCAAACCTCTCCCTCCGATCGAGCGTTTGTAATCACTGCTGTAAGACTTGCCTTTTGGCACTAACAAGAAGCTTACTTCCACTGCATAAAATGTGAAATACATAGTTCAATCTGCCTTCAATCAGTTGGGAGGGAAGGGGAAAAACACATCTTAAGCACAAGTTTACACATGAACCTTAACTAGAGTCATCTCAAATGAATATGGTATGCTTCTACAGTTGCTGGTGTATTTATATATCAAGTGTCTAGCTTACATGCCACTCTCATCAAACATCTTAAGTAAAATATAAGTTATTGTCAGATATCTCACTTCTTAAAATCCATGTTATAGTTGCTGCAAGGGCTGTAGCTTTTTCATCACCAACACCATAGCCCTTTAACATGGCTTGTGTGGCAAGGGTACCAGTTATTGAAGAACAAAATGCCTAACATACAAGTAAAACAAGTTAGCATCCAATATTTTTCTGCCTTACAGCTTTAAACATGAACGACCAGTATTTATTGACCTCCTGTAACAGAAACAACCATCTTTTCTTTGGTCATGGGTGTTGATCTACTCTATTCCAAGTTAACTGTCAAACTCAAAGGAATGGTTAACATGTAACTATAATATCCATACATTATCCAGTAAACAGATAGTGAGAATACTCAAACTTATGAGGTAGAAGTTGTTACCCCGCTCTAAAATCAAATTCTTGCATGTAATTTACAAGGAAATGTGTAACAACCAGAGGGGAGAATTAACAATCAGATCTTGGGAGTTAATTAGAGTTAAGAGATGGTTTGGGAGTACTCAGAGGATTACTGTCCAGCAATTTACAGGGAAGGATTAACGAGACAGGGAGATAAATGAATCAAAAACTGATCTATAGACTTAATTACCTGCATGGTATCCCATATTTGGTATTCCAAGTAATCTTTGCTGACACTGTCTGGGTAGCCTTGTGGGAGAAAGGCACACTACAAAAGATACAGCCAATCTTTAATACAACATTATACACTAAAATCATGGTACAAATCATATCATGCAGTCTGCAGTGGGAGAGGGCTAAGTAATCTCCTCCCTCCCCCCCTGCACCTCCCCTCTCCCCCATCCCCTCCCTGGATGGGTGAAAAGAATGTAGGGCTGGGCAATCCATGACACAATTTCTGTTACCCCTGTAGGTATTGCATCAAGAAAAGCTTCTCTTCTGTCATCCTCTGCTTACCTATTCTTAAAAGTATTGGCAATTAAATAAGCTCAAAATAGAGACGCCTGTCTTTTTTTCATTCGAACATTTGTTCCTGTTTCTCTGAGAAGCGCTTGAAAAATTGTTCATCCCGCTCTATCCATGCATGCATGCAGTATTTCATGCGTTTTGCTGGAATCATGGGGTCATGGTGAGGGCTTCCCTAAAATCTGCAACAATTTGCTCTCAATCTAAAATCAGTGGTGACTACGGGCTTGGGAATTAATACTTCGGCTTTTTTTGCAGTTGCAAGGCCTACAAAGCTGAAATACCTTGAAAAACTGCCTCACTGAGGTAGCTAGAGTATCTCTCTTCCTTCCTATTCTTTCTATATTTCCACTTTCTGCAGAAAATCTATATTTTCTCTCTCCGCTGCCCGATCCATACTTCTCCGTAACAACTGCAAATTCATCCGCCATCTTGCCACGGTGCAATGGCATCTACCGCTGACAAAAGTTAGCTCGATCCAGTACCTTCTCATTATCAATTTTAATATGGCGGATTCGAACTTGGGTCGCTAGTGAGATTACACGATCAAGTACACATGACCTTTCTAATCGCAAGGTCTTCTGCATTCTCTCAAAGAATTTTTAGTAGTCTTAATCTGTCGAGATCTCGTTATTACAGTTCGATGGATCTCAAAGACGTCGTGAAAAAGCTGCACGAGTTTGCGCCCCTGCAGCTAGCTGAAGACTGGGACAATGTTGGCTTACTCGTCGAACCATCGCCACCTCATTTTGTAAAATCGCTACTTCTAACTAACGATCTGACTGAAAAAGTGGTACAAGAAGCTATTGAAGAAGATGTAAATATGGTTATATCGTATCACCCGCCGATATTTAAGCCACTCAAACGTCTCACTTCAAAATCGTTCAAGGAAAGAATCATAGTGAAAATGATAGAGAATAAAATAGCCGTTTACTCTCCGCACACAGCTTTTGATGCGATTAAAAATGGCGTCAACGACTGGCTCGCCTCAGGTCTCGGAAGTGCAGAGGTGGAACCCCTTCAATGTTCTAAAGGATCTGGTTCTTGTCGGTACAAAGTAGTGACAGGTATTTACAAAGTATTGACCAATCAGGTAGCAGATAGTACATCTAAGCTTCAAGACAGCCTCAAAAGACTCAATGGAGTGGACAGGACTGAGGTTGAAGCTGCAACAAAGTAAGCCTTGATCTTCCTAAAAAATTAGATAGATAGAATGCCTTTTTTTGACCCTCTAACTCCCAAGATCTGATTGTTAATTCTCCCCCCTAGCTTCTGAAAATTTCATTTTAAATTGATGAAAATTTTTTGTTACATCAAGATAACTTCTACATGATTAATTTGAATATTCTCATTACCTTCTTGCTGGATAATTAATGAATGTCATGGAGAGAAGTTACATGTTAATCACCTCTCAAGCTTAAGATATGTTGAGGGGTGAAAAGATTTCTCCTGTTCCCCTGAGTTCAACCTCCTCCACCCTTCCCCCCCCCCCACTCAGCCAAACTATAAGAGCTTTCTCATGTACACATGTAGTGAACCTATAAGGGCAAATTTTTCTTTGCTGTGAAATGTTTAAACATTTTTTTAAAATGTCATCCTTCACAAATGTCATTTGATTGTTTAATGCACAGACTCATTGCATGTTTTTTATACTATACAGACCAGATGGTTCTGCAAAAGATATAATTTCAGTACACTGCACTGAGACTGGCCTGGTCAATATCTTTCAGTTGTTGACATCTCAGTTTCCTGAAACTGTTAGTAAAACAGAAGTGATTCCTTTAGCTCAGGTAGGGCTGAAAAGTGCACAAAACAACAGATGAGTTTATATTTATCTATATACCTCCATCCATAACTGTCCACTAGGCACCCCCCCCCCCCCATGTACAGCTTCCATCTGTGATTTCCAATCTTCATGATCTTCCACAATGACTTGCAGCTTTTGAATACTTTTCATAGCAGTATCTTCAAGCTATAAATCTCCATGGGTGATTTTTGTTTTCTATACTTGTCCTTCTTTCAGTCGGCAAACAGGGCACCTAAACCTTCCTTTATTCCAAAGTATGTGTTAAATACCTATGGAAACCTCAACAGCTGAAGGACCTCACTTTTTAAGGCTTCATGCCCAAAGAAGGGCTATATAATTTTTTCTTTCTGTTTTTATCAAAAGAACATAACTTCAAAACATTTTGATCAACTCATCTTCCTTATCCAAATTTCTTGTCCTCAGATTCCACTTTTGGGAACTGGCCAAGGAAGGCTCTGCACCCTACAGACACCAGTTACTCTGTCAGAATTGATAAACCGCATCAAAAACCACCTTAATTTGAAACATGTTCGTCTTGCTGTGGCACATGCAAGTATTTCTGAACTAACTGATCCTCTTCACAGCCATGTTCAGACTATTGCAATCTGTGCCGGGTCAGGAGCTGGTTTACTGCAAGGAACAAAAGCTGATGTATATTTGACAGGAGAAATGTCACATCATGAAGTTCTTGAAGCAGTGTCGAATGGAGTACATGTGGTCTTATGTGAACACAGAAACACAGAACGTGGTTTCTTATTGGAATTTAAGACAAAATTGAATGGTTTGCTAGAAGGGAAGGTTAATATTTTGGTTTCTTCACATGATGCAGATCCACTTCAAGTGGTATAGGAAACCATCCTTTTGAAATTCATCAAAGCCCATCAACTCCCAAGAGTGATCAAATGAGAATATCTCCTCACTATACCAAGAAGACAAGTGATAAAAAGAAAGAGAAATATCAATCAGGGGATTATTAGTTGATCAAATACCAAATTCTCTGAACTAACATCCTAAAAACTGTATGGCATCAGTGACGTGAATAACCAGTTAGATCTTGGGAGGGAGAGGATTAAGACCACAAATGGTTGGAATTGCCAACTAGACATGATTAGGAACTTTTGATTTTAAGGTAGACATCTGGATTTATAACATAACCAAAGTAAAGCGCACGCTCTGATTGGTCAATTTAGCGTCCCCCATTTGCCCATGGGTGTACGCTGCTGACGTGAGCAAATGCAAAGACTATTTTTCCGCGCGCGCTTGTTTTTTCTGGTCACGTAAGATTTGTTAAATAAAAGGGAACTCTTTAGCTACAATGTATCAATGTTATGTTATAAAACAAATGGTAAAATAGTCCTCAATGTGCAAAATTTTAAAACTGAACTTTCTAAGATGGTATTGGCCAGTCTTGAACATGTCTCTCTCAGAGGGAATTGTCTGTTATTTTTCCTCAGTGTTAAAAACCTCTAAGAGTGACTAGCATCTAATTTCTCCTTACCATATCACCCCTTAATCAAATATTAAGGTTACGAGATTTAAGGAAAAAATCACCCACTGAATAAGCACCTCAGGAAATGTATAGAGAACATGACTGTTGGGGAATATGTATACTGTTGCTAGGGTGTAAAAGGTTAAGCATATGAGAATTTTTTTCAAGATTTTCGTTGCCACGCTTTAAGATGTAAGAAGTAAATCTGCAAATGAAAAATCCCCAGGCACTTATTTCTTGTTGTTTTTAGAAAATATCCCCAGCCCCCCCTTAAAAGGCAGTGCAGGTAAAATTGACAAGTAGATGAGGGTGAACAAAATAAACGGAAAACAATAAAAGCCGAGAACGGCAAATACAAGACAAAACCAAGTGCAACTTTGAATAGCTTTATTGAGTGTCAAAACTACAGAACTACCATTTCACTTAAAGCAGAGAAGGTATAAACTTTTAACATTAAGGAAGCCCCAACAAACAAAGTGAATGATACAAAATTATTTTAGATGCTCTTAACAATGATATGATAAAAACTAGGTGAGCAAATATGTTGCACATTAGTAAAAAGTCCTAAAAGATACAAAAGTAGCAGAAAGCTAGCATCTTAAAGTAAATTTGGCCTTCAGCGCTAATTTTGAACCCCCCAGAGTTTTCGTTGACTGTGAATCATGTCGAGACATTTAGCGACAGCCACAGGCGCTTGCAGTTAAGTCAAAAATAGTCTTTCTCACCAAGTTACCATTGGACTCTCTTTTCAAAACATCAAGTCCTTGATATTTTGTCGGAACGCATTTACTCTTCAAGAGATTCCCGTGAACTGCTGGGGACGAAAACACATGTCTCCGTTTGGCGAGTTCCAAGATGAATGCATGGGGTGTTATGTATTTCGAGAAGGAACTCATGCTGTTGGCTACATCACATCGGCCATAACACAAAGAAAAGTTGATAAGCCCTTTTGGTCGAACATACACTTTGGACAGGCCCAGTTGTGCAAACGAGGTTCTGAAGCTGTGAAGTCGACATTCAGTCGGGAACCGACCACTGCGGAGCCTATAACGTCTATTTGGCCTATTACCAGCAAAGAAAGATCTTGTAAACGTAGTTGAAATACTCTTGAAATAGGCCACGAGAAAAACGGGTCCATATTTTCGCCACTCTTCAAACTTCTTAAATTCTTTCCGCGTGGCGTCTGTGACGTTAAACTCAACTTTCACTTTACCAAGACTTCTTTGTTCCTTCCACTGATCCAAAAGCCAAGATGTGTCATAGAGGTCTATCGTTTTTGTTGTGTTTACAAGCAAATCTTGGGTGTTGTAAGCCACTTTAAATCCATCCTCGTCAAGGACGTTAAAAGCATAGATAACCTTATCTTTTGTGGGAAATTTAAGAAAGGCCAAGTGAAGTTTGAACGTGTTCTTGATGACGATGGCTGAGGTATCAAAGTGGGATGTGAACTGTATTCGATGCTGATCTTCAACTTTGGTGTTTCGACGAAGAAATTCTGAAAAAAGAAGGCATTTTTTACCCTAAGCTCTTATTGATCAATTAAGAAAACGCACTATACTTTCAAATCTTTCTTCACGATTGTTTATAACAAAAAAGAGAAAAAACACTTAGCAACATGTGCATTTTTCGGTACGAGATTTTTCATTTACCAAATATTATCGTATGGGTATGCGCGCCACAGTTTGAAATCGAAATGTGTAAAAGGAATATTTTGTCCAACTTTAAAGGTGCAAATCGAAGGGAAAGAGCATGAGAATACCATTTCAAGCGCGATTCAAACATACCTTTGTCAAGTATAAAGAGAATATTTTCATCTTTTGAAATCCTCAGATCCTTTGACAGTCCCTCGACGTAGTCTGTAAATGTAGCGCTACGCTGGTCAACAGATGTCCTTGCCGAGCTGAAAACAATCATGAAAACAAGAAAAGGGAACAAAAATTGTGCTTTCCTGAATTGGTTCATCTTTCAATGTCCCGAGATTCTAAAGCAGACTCAAGAAAAGGTGGATCCAAACATTAAAGTTTCCCCTTGAAAACATTCATTTTCAGGTGGCCAAGAAGACGCCAAAATGTTTTCGAGGCGACAAGGAGGCGTATACGTGCGCTGTAAAATGTGCAACTCCCAAACTTTAAACATGATAGCTGATAGCTGATTAAACGAAGCTTTTAAGACCTTATCTCGCTTTCATAGTTTCATTAGTAATTAAAACCTCAGCATGTTCCTCACCTTCAAGTAGCTTGCCGCATAAGTTACTTGAAGACCTGAGAAAAAATCGTATTAACTTGAATTCAAAATCATAGTCAGCTTGGAAAAGATGATTGAAACACGTATTCCGTATGATGAACGCTAGTTGCTGGTTTCTGAGCTGACAAATGATTCAGTTTTCGATGCATGTGACACAGAAAGGAAACAAAACCAGACAGTTGAGCGAATAGTTTGTTTTTCTTTTCTAACACTTTTTAAAAACACGTTTGTATAACAGCTATCCATTCCTCTAAGTGTCTTTAAACGTCGCCACTTGATACTGAAAACTGACATATCATTCGCTTATCTCTCCTTCTTTAAATACCACTGCAGAAATGTTCTTTGATGTCAAAAAGCGTTGATAATTTATGTCGGTTGACTTGATGTTTTTTATGTTGAATCGACGTTAAATTGGACTCTGATTACTATTACAAGAAATTTGGCTTTGCAAAGTTGTACAGTTTACTTCTACAGATTATAGTTCAGTTTAATTTCTCTCCTCGATAGCTCCTTAGACTTCAAATCTTCCTCTTGTGCTCCGACTTATTGATTGTTATCTACTTAATGAAATGAAAACGCTTCCTCTCATCAAGTTGGCATAGCGTAAAATATTGACTGGACTGGACTATTTTTGGACGATTTTTTGGACGATTTTATAAGGGGGGAGGCACACCTTCAGTACTCAGGGAGGGACGGGTGCAGTCGACAAGTACTGAGGAAGGGGTGGGGGAAGAGTGTTATTACTCAGGGAGGGGTGGTAGGTGGTGTAATTGTAAACACTACTGGTTAATGGGGCTTTTACTCGATCAAATGATTGATTGTTTTTAAACTGGCGCGCGGAAGAAAATTTAGTGGTGAACAATAAAGACAATACTTATGTCCCAGAACTATAGCATACTTGCTCTCGGAGCTTCGCTTCTCGGGCAAATATTTGTTTTAAGAACATCAAATTCCCGCGGGGCAACTATCAGCCGATAGTTCCTGGACAGAAACACTCTATTGTTTAACTAGGTATTTCGGTGTAGTGTGAAATTCTGTGATCTCGTCTCATGATAAGATCACTGACAAAAGGAAGATAGATCAATTCAGTAATAACATACTGTATACACAAAGGAAAACGTGAAGCAACTGATAGTGCACACACAAGTCGACGCAAAAGGCACACGGGTAACTCAACAGTGGAGGATCGTAAACGCAGTATTTTAAATATAAATTAAAGTTCAATGTTTACGTGGCAGTTTCGCTTTTGCATAACGGAAATTCCGAGATCTCGTCTGATAACATCATTGAGAAAAGGAAGAGAGATAAATCTGGTAATTACACACTGTATACACGTTTTTCGAGGTGTGCGTTTTCGAGGTGTGCGGTCTGCGGTCTGCGTTTTCGAGGTCTGTGTTAACGAGACGCCTGAGAGAATATTGCTTTGCGCGATTGTACCAAAAATGATTTCATATAGTAAACGTACAAACATAGTGCTTGTGAATTCTATATTTGCGACTTAAGTCAAGGGACAAGGAACGGAAATTCTGTGATCTCGTCTGATAACGTCAATGAAAAAAGAAAGATAGATAAATCTGGTAATTACACAAAGGAAAACTGATGGTGCACAAGTCGACTCAAAAGACACACGCATAACCTATGCCAGACTGGTAACTTAACTGTGGAGGATGGTAAACGCGATATTTTCTATAAGAATTAAAGTCCAGTGTTTACCTGGCAGTTTCGCTTTCGCATGGCTAAAAAATTAAAGAAACGCAGCGGCCCAGCGCAAAATGTTGATGTAGGAGAAGTCAGTCGAAAAACCGATTAAGATAATTATTACGATCGAGTAAAAGCTCCATTAACCAGTAGTGTTTACAATTACAACCACCTATCACCCCTCCCTGAGTAATAACACTCTTCCCCCACCCCTCCCTCAGTACTTGTCGACTGTACCCACCCCCCCGAGTACTAAAGGTGTGCCTCTCCCCTTATAAAATCGTCCAAAAAATAGTCCAAAAAAAATCGTCCAAAAAATAGTCCAGTCCAGTCCATATTTTACCCTATGCCCATCAAGTTCAAGATGATAAAAACGTATTTTAATGTACACTGCATAATGTAACTGTAACTTTATCCATCTTCTCTTTAAGAACGCAGCAGTGAAATAAATGCATTACGCACATGAAGTGAGTTCCGTCTTACATTCAATCTCTCGTGAAAATTTTCTGAGAATCACCCGCCCAGAAGGAACCAGATTTCACATTAAAAACAATTTTAAAACATCAGGTAAACTTTCCGGGGTTTTTGCCGAATCATCGACTTTCCAAGAAGAAGCCAAGATTATCATTTCAAAACTAAGGCTTATCTTAACTCAAACTTTTATTTAATGATAACAAAAAGAACAACATTTTCCTAAGGTGGTGCCAAAGTTCTGAATCCCACATTATCTCACCCGATTAAACATTTAAGCTCGCGATCCAGAGAATTCACTAAATTGACCACCTGCATGTTAGATTTGTAGATACGAAAAACAATCTGTGAACAATACAAGGGTCAGGGCTAAGAATTTGAAGGTTTCCGAAGAACACGAGGCCAACAAAAGAGCACAAACATGCTGTTTTGAAGCTTTTGCCGGTGACATAGTCGTATGGGCGAAAAACAACCTGTATTCGATTAGTTCAAAGACTTATTTAGCTTTTAGATTTGAGCTCACAACTTTGCCCATGGACTTATGGATTTGGCGTTTATAGGCCCTTTATAAGCGTCCATGCATCAGTATTGGTTTGCTCTCTTCTTCCATGACTTCACTGTTTTTGTTGTTTTTCTTCCAGTCCCTTGGTAATATTTAGCTCGCGTTAACTTTATACATGTACCCAATCCTGTCAAACAAAACTGAATTTTTCTGAAAACGACTCATGAAATAAATGAAATTTGCCGTTTCTCTGGTGGCAAAGGGAAAGTACTAAGTCTAGATAAAGTTTTGTGGATCCGATATTGCTAGCAAGATGCAGCTTCAACTAGAATACGGGAAACATGCCATGCAATGCTGAGAATACTGTAAAAGTAGCAAACTGACGAATGGTACAAATGTTGTTGTCTTTATTGATCGTTTAATATAAGTTTCGAACGTGACGAAATTTTTCTACCACGTGCAATAAGTATGGAAAGGTGAAAAAAAACCTGCTTCTGGACAGCATGTTGTGGGCCAGGTCATGAAACAGTTATTGTTTATGAAAATTAATATTTTGTCAGCGAGTTGTAACTTCAGTTTATGACTTAAAACCCATGCAAGTATTCTTTTTTTAAGCAGAATAGTTCAACGCCTACATTGAGCAAGACTTCTCCACATTTAATTCCTCAGAATTCTGTGAAACACATCTACATTTAGATCAAAAGTTATGCAGTGATTCACATTAGTATTTCATAACATTTTTGTTGACTGTCAGAATATTTCTTCCTTATTGCGTTGCACCATTAAATGTATTTTAATAAAAATCTTATTGGTGCAGGGGACATCTGGTTAGGTAAGGACTGCAACATTTACAGTACAAACTATTTGAAATTTCAGTCACTATCTGGTTGCCAGATCTAAGGAATGAAAGCTTCTCATTCATTCTTATTTACTGCAAGTTATCACGGTTTAACAGAACGATTCTGTCAGAGAACTTCTTAATGCAAACAACGTTATTTCAGTTTCGGCAAATTCGCTTGTGGACTATTAAATTGTATTTTCATCTCTGATGATTGGATCAGTTTGGCAGATATACTAAGAGGCAAGTATACTTATAGGCAATTAACTAAAGAAAGCAGTAACCATGAAACGGAAAACATGATTATATAGCGACAAAAATTTAGCGTGGTTTATTTTCAGTCATTACAATCTATCAGAACATTCCATGGATCGAAAACGTGGGATTCCGATTAAATAAGCAGAATGACACACCGTTTATCAACAGTGAAATTCCCACATTTATTTACAAAAAAGACTTAAAGTTTGCAAATAAACACCTAATCCACGTGGCCTAATTAGATGTCCAACCAGCAATTAGCAACTTGATTAACTTCGAATTATAAGAGCGCTCTATTGGTTGCTAAGCACGTGACAGATTTTTGCGGGAAAATGGCACGCTTGTACCTGCAAAGAACGCAAGAAGTCTTTTGTTTTTCTTTTGTTTTCCTTCTCTTTTGAGGCTTTGCTGTCAACTAAGCTACCATACTGAAGGAATTTAAATCCCATTTGGTCGAGAAACCCCTCACTTCGTCCGAGTCTTTGGAGCAGCTCCATTGAAGATTTGAAAACCTCACCTGTAAAATGGTTTACCCTGAGGTCGAATTCCACATTGGAGGGAATTATTTTGCAAGGTTTGTTTTTTCGTTTCCCAGCATTTATCATTTTTAAGTGTTTAATTTGATACAAGGAAAGTTCTCGCCATTCAGCACGGTTGTTTCTTTGCCCCTAAAGTTTACCAAAGATGTGGAAGAGCCCGGAAGATACTTCTTTAACATCAGATAGCCTTTCTGATGCCATGCGTGGACGAATTTTTCTGAGATGAAAAAATTACGGATGTATTGTCTGCTACAATCGTAAACGCGTGGTCGAAGAAAACGAAAAAATTTGCCAACTTTCAATTCGCATTTAATTAATAAGCCACGTGCTTGACAACAGACTGTTTGGCTAACAACAACATGGCGGCTAAAACGTCACGAACCTCAGTAGTTGATCGCTCTTGTGACTGTTGCATGAGAAACGCCAATGCAGTGAAGGTTACCAAGGTACTCTCAGCGCTCTTCGAGTCTTACAAAGATGACACTGTAACGATGAAATCGTGGCAATTTTAAAGCAATCATAAATCATTTTTGTTTCGCAGCCGAACAGATAACTTAATGATGGCTAGGAATGGAAAAGTTCATCCGGTGACCACTGTCGACCACCATCACGATTACCGTAGTGATCACGTACAGTTGAACAGAATGAATCATGTAACGAAATCGAGGGAGAAAACAGAGACAGTTTCAAGCGAAAACTGGCAGAAAGTTTCCAAAGAAGTCATGGCTTTTTCGCGGTGGAAAGGTTACACGCGCTCAATGAGATCACTGGTTGAAAAAAACTCTTCCGCATTGAATAATAGCATTCGATCTAGAGTTTACGCGAGATCACATTCGTACAAGGAAAGGGAAATGCACTGCGTGTTGGACAGTGATGTCGAGGATTTAGGAAATGAACGACTGGCGATGTACGATACAAATGTTTATATGAAACCAATGCCTGCTGTTAATCACGGTGAACCGACTCATCCTTCCATCGCAGCCAGCAGAGCTTTGATCATTTACTTCGCCAAACTTGCCAAGCAAAGCATTGAGATGGAACAAGAGCTTGATTTTGAGTTCATAGAAGGACTGCTTGACGAAGGAGCTGATATAAACTTCACGGATAGGTACGGACAAACTGTCATGCATGAAGTGGCTCGAATCTGGCACGTGGATGTTGCCAGGTTTGTTTTGGAAAATGGAGGAGACGTAAACAAAACAGATGAATTTGGACGGACGCCACTACATGTTGCCGCAGCAGTTGATTATTCTGAGATGGTAGAGTTTCTGGTCACCAACAAAGGTTAGTTTCAGTGGTGTGATGAAAGGCCTACTTCATGTAAAGGCAACCTTATTTACTGAGTCTTTTCATCTTTCAGATTTAATGAGAGTGTTATCATCAATATGATCCCTATTACCAAATGCTTTGATTTTTTAATTGAATTTCCACCTACAATTTTTAACGATTCAATCGCTGAATATTAGTTTTGTGAAATATGAAAAGCTTCTCCAGCAAAATATGCTATACATATATGGTCATACACATACATGTTCATATATAGATACAAAACAAGCAGTATACAAACTTTTTTGACATTCTATTAATATAATATATATGTGTTAAGTTGCTAATTCTAGTGTTTTTATGAACCATAGTTAATTTTTCCAAAGCAAAACTGCATATCGCTTGATGTAGCAAAACCCACATTTTGTGGAACCGATATTTAGTGTATACCATGCTCAGTAAAGGCCAATGAACCCTCCCTTTTTTTTTTTGAACAAACTTAGATTGAAGACTCATGACACCCATTAGGCAAACGTTAGTGTCAGGAACTAGGTTGCTACTTAAGGTGGCTCAAAATGTTTTCATTTTTTTTCCTTTTACCAAATATTCAATTCTTCAATGGTAGCCTCCAAACCCAGTCTTATTTGTGTTCCCTGGAAATAGTATCAGTAAATGTGGATATGTTTTTTGGAAAAGTTTCTATCATCTTTTGACTTATAGGGTTATTGCTCCTCTTAGGAGCAATATTGTTTAAAATTTTGTTCATATGATTGAGAACCAACTTAATTTTTCAATGATTTAAAAACATTGAGAAACGATCAGTCACTCAGATTAGTACCATTTTCAAGTCAATACACAACCATAGCCAAACCATTATAAGCCATTGCATATTAAAAGAAAGCTCAACATCAGATATTTGTACTTCTTCAAATAGCTGATCTACATGCCATCACATTTGGAGAACAACAAACACCCACTCACTATGCTGCTAAGAATGATGCTTCTAAAGCACTGAGGATGCTTCTCAAGTTGGGTGGCAGGATGGACGATACAGATTACAAAAAACGCACTCCTCTGCTTGTAGCAGCTGAATTAGGTATTGTTTTTAGCTGAATCCTATTGGTTCTTTAACATTTTAACTCTCAAGATCTGATCATTGATTCTCCTCTCCAGCCACCACACATTTCCTTGCTAATTGGTTATGAGAATTTGATGTTAGATCAAGATCATAACTTCCATCTGACAAGTTTGAGTATTCTCATTACTTGTTTGCTGGATAACGTTTGGGCATCGTAGGGAGAAGTTACAAATTAATCACTTCTGGATGTTAAAGGATAATGGTGATACAGACTGGATATTTATCAAATAGCTTTACCATACAATGCACTTTGTCATTTTGTTATGATAAAGTTCTTTAAAGTGCATTATTCTTGTTTCCTGAGGTATAGCTAAGTTTGTATTATGCTTGAACTCTTGAATTTACTATGTTGAGGGATTTGAACTTATTCTATCCAAGAAAGGTATTATTTCTGAAACTCAAACTCTTGACTTGGGCAGTGGGACTAAAAAGTAAAGGTAAAGTCTGTTTACGAGCCTAGTGGCCCATTAGGCCGGTGCTTAACTCCGGTTTCTGTAGCATGAAGCGACTAGGAGTATTTCTACTCCCCCCTGGATGGGATGCCAGTCCATCACAGGGACTAAAAAGTGCACAACTCCATTTTCGTAAGCTTGATAAACTATTTCCTCATTGTAAATGTCATCATTAGTAAATATACACTTTTTTCAAGGATCAAATTGTTGTGGTTTATTTTCTTGAACTCAACGTTTCTTAGATGGCAAAAGTTTATTTGTATTTTTTAAAAGAGTTTTTCGCTTCAAAAGACAATCTCAGTTTTAAACTGTGGTCTTCACCAGCCATTTTGGTAAATTGTTCTATGGCCATAGAGATGTACAATTTCCTTCTTTGTTTTTTCAGATCGATCAGAAACAGCCAAATATTTAATTGACCAAGGTGCTGCTGCTGGAGTTCAAGACAGTGCAGGCAGCTCAGTTATGTCTTTCATGATTTCCAAAATGCCTCCTGTTGCAAAAGAAGCCTTGGATCAGTTTCACACAACGAACCGAGGCAATCGCCGTCAGTACTTCTACCTTAATCATCTGGAACCTTTTCTGGCGGACGGAAACGGTGCATTTGCTTCTTGCGCCAGATCCCCACTTCACTGTGTGGTATATTACAAACAAATGGAACTTATCATGCACCCAGTTTTCAAACGGCTTCTTGATGTAAAGTGGGATCAATTCGGCTGGCGTGGAACGATTAAGAACATTTTCGTGCACGCGGTTTTCGTGTTAGTATGGACAGCGCTAGGTGTGACTCTTCATTTCGGATCTGACACGCAGAATACCGTGAACTATTATTATCCCCTCAAAGATTATATATGGCGGATTGTTCTGGAGAGCATAGCTTGTTGCATGACTTTGTACTTTATTTGTCAGGAGTTTCTGGAGATCAGTGCTTCGAAGAAGTTGCACCGAAACTGGAAGAGATGGAGGATCGATGAGCTCGACAAGGACCTGAAGTTTTCTCATCCACGTTGGCCAGAAGAGAGAAAGTATCTTGAAATGGAACGCAACGACATCTTAGATTCAGGAATTTCTTACTTTAACGACGCTTGGAATTACTTTGATTGGGTGACATATGGCTGGATTCTGGGCATAATTGTGACTCGTGTTTTTGCTGTTGTGCTGGCCAGCAATGTAGCCCGCTCCCTCCATCCAAAAGTGTTCGCCATTGCACTGATTTTCATCTGGCTCCGACTGATGAAAGTTTTCCGCGGTTTTATTACATTAGGACCTTTCATTGTTATGATCGGACATATCATTGACGATACTCTTAAGTTTGGCTTTCTTTATATTATATTCTATGTACCCTATGTATGTGCGTTTTGGATTACATTCGGAGGCGCCGAGAACGCTGCAGTTATGAGAGCCAACGGTTTAGACGCCAATGGCTGGGAGAAGTTTAACGATCTTATGTATTCCGTGTGGCAGTTGACAGTGGTAGGGAATTACCCCTGGGATTCTTTGCTCGTAGTAGACCGGCTAATGGCGCAGATTCTTTGCGGAACATACCTAGCACTGTCAGCTATTGTGATGATTAATCTCTTCATTGCACTGATGTCGGACACGTTTCAGCGTGTTTATGACAACGCCAAAGCGAACGCGGCCATGCAGCGTGCAAGCACCATACTGACAATGGAAGAGAATATGGGAGACAAGACTCGAGAAAAATATAGGAGACTGATTCATGAGAAATTCTCTCCCGAGGTGAGACATTCTTCTACCTAAGTTCGTCTCATTCGCGGCCTTTTTTCGGTGCAGAGACTAGAGTAGTGAAGACATTCCTTTTTATCAAGCCTTGTTTTGACGCCAAAGAGAGAATTACGCGTGTTCAAAAACTAACGATGTTTACAAATATTTAAAAGATTGTTTTGAAACTAGAGAATGAGTAATATGGAAGCGTAGCCTTGAAAGAAGAAGCTTGGGGAGAACTAAAAATCTTATTGAAATTCGCACCGAAGTAGGCCGGGTGTACTCTGAGTGTCCATGCATCTACGCGCACATGTTTAGATAGACGCACGCACTGTATTTCCTTGATGTAGGAATGATAGAGATATAAGAAATTTTGGTTCAGTTTAACTTAAAATGGGTGTAGGAATTACCAACTTACGTAGGTGATTCGTGCGGAGCGAAGAAATCTTGAATCCGTATTTTAGGATTCGGGTTTTCCGCGCTCTTCCGCCCGCTTTTTACTTATGTCCTGCTGATACCTTTTGTTACTTTCACTAACTCAGTCTTAAGGGTTCTGTAAATTCCTGTTAACTTTACAACAACTCACATTCATACCTTCGTAAAATATATTTATTCATTAGGAAATGTATTACGATGATGACTCTACCCAGCCTGGGTCTGGTGACTTGGAACGAATGACGCACCAAATTAAAGACGTGGTTGATGAAGTGTTCGACATGCTACGACCGCAGAATCGTAACGGATTAGGAAGGACGGCGGATAAAAGCGCCAAGCGGGAGATTGAACGGTAAATGATGGCACTTTTATTGTATCAGAAGTTATTGACAGAAGAATAATTTGGGAAAAAATGCATTTGAACATTACATAGGTGGCTGATACTTCTTTACGTAGCTTTTAAATCAGTTTGACTTTGAAAACATACTCAGTAACGAAATAAGTGTTTTTTATCTGTTACATACCCAAAAGAAATTGCAAATGAATTTCAGTTCCTTTGTTTGCCGATTAATGCTTTACCACTCTTCTCTATAGCGTTAAGTTCCTCGCGAAGTACCCCATTTTCCTACTGGATTGGGTGACACATACTGTCATGGGATATGAAGAATGTCTTAAATATTTGTTGCGTTGTAACTCGACATGAAGGCTTCTGTTGATGATACTTCTGTTGATGATACTTCTCAGCCTATATGGCTATTTTATAATTTTATGTTATTTCCTGTATCTTCTAGCTTGCGATCTGACCTCGCAGAAGTTTCCAACCGGCATGAACAGACTGTGAAAGAGATGAGAAATGAAGTGGCTGAGATGAAAGCTTTGTTGATTCGTGTTTTGGAGCGGGGGTCGGTACCGTCACTACCATCTGTTCGATCTCTTCACGAGCAAACTCAACCTCCAGAAAAACTCAACCCGAACGAGGCACGGAATCCTTCGAAGCGATCGGCGAGTAGTCGGTCGCACCGAAAAAGGCATCGGCGGCAGCGTAGCTCTCCGAGTGATGACGAAGTTGATCACAGGGATTATCAAGGATTACCGCTGACCGATGACATTGGAGGCGATGCGAATGAGTTGCCAAGTGTGCGGGTGTTGACTACACGTGCTACAGCTCGTAAGCAGCAAAGAGACGAAAAAGATGACAGGTGAACAATCGAAGTAAATACAGATAAATCGGACGTGTAGCTTGAAATAGATACACCAAAACGTTAGAAAGGCAAAGGAGAGGAAATTCTTATTTTGACAAGTGTGGAATCGAGGCTAAGCGAGTGCAGTATGTAACAATAAAAGTGGCGTACCCTTGACAGTCCGGCCTTTTCCGAATACGATTTTTTCGATGTAACCAGTTGAGCGATTGTTCATAATTTGTCGTGTAGTTTCAGGTTTGGTTTAGTTCGTGTTAAGAGAGATCCTTTAGCCAAAGACATGTTATTTGACGTATCCGTTTTGCCAATAAGTTCCGACGAGAACGCATTTCGTAACCAAGGTATGGATGAAAAGTAACTTGTATTAAAATGCTCAACTTTTATTTTAAACAGAAATGACAATTTTTTACCGATGTATAGTTTTGTAAAAGCAAGATAGGCTTTTTTTAACAACAGATGTATTTTCATATAACGAGGAGACGGAGAGTGGTTAACTTACTCCAGTTTTGGGCATCACATATTATACAGTGTGGAGAATGTTTAGAAAAATAAATTGCATAAACCTGATCATCAATATGCTTACGATACTACTTAAGTGAAAAGAAGGACTAAAAGGAATTCTCTTTGTTAAAACATATCAACCTTCTCTGGGGCAAGGACTGCTACAAAACCAAGGTATCTTGGTGGATTGTGATAGAAAAACCGACAGAAAACTGTGACACCAATTTCAAGGTTTTACTCTTTGGAATGAAATATCAGCGTACCTGAAACTATTGAACTATCTTGTGATAGAAGAAGAAAGGGCGTTTGGTGTAAAAATAATCATTCATAGCGAGGTCACAAGTACCTTGCGAAAGAGGTCCCCTCGATCTTCCTAGAAATGGTGACTTTTCTAGGAAGATCGAAGGGACCTCTGTTCGCAGGGATGGTCACAAGATGCAATGAAAGTACGCGCACGTCACAAAAAATTATGTGTCGCGTTCATAATATCCCTAACAAAGAACGCGCGCGTACATCGAACGGGAAATTTTATGTTAATTAAAATGTAAACAAAAATCCCCAGACAAATCTAGATTTGTTAACAAACAGCTGCAGCTAAAAAAAGCCTATAAATGAATCTGGTAGGATTAATTAAGTCAGGTCAAGAGAGAAATAACACCCTCGAGAAACCCGCGTGTTTTCGATAGCTGTAGTATGTCACGTTGGTTCCTCGCGCTACCAAAGTCTCTCTTTTGTAGATCAGCCGTCTCTCACGTGTTTTCGTTACAGAGTTTTGACTATAATGCATGAAAAGGATGTCGTTGGTAGAGTGCTCAGGTAAGAATCAAGTTTATTAAATTATTATTTTCAGCTAGCAAGCGGGTGATCTCTTGACAGAGCGACAAATGTTTATCAACTAAACCTTCGTGCCGTGGTGATGCCGATGATTAAGTTTCCGTTTCCGTATTCGCGAGGTAGGTTCCGTTTGGCGCGTATTTACGCTCTTGGCAGGATTTTAAAGTGCACTTACACTCTTAGGTTTCCTTCAATACCATTCCTTTGCAATGATTTTGACAAGGAGATTAAGAAGTCCAGTCCATCGTTTGATTCGGAAAATCGGATATATATGATAATATTTCATAAATTTTATTTCGTTCAAATCAGTCAAAAGAAATTACGATAAAATATTGTCTCAACTAACTTAATGAACACTATTGACGATCGAGAGTTTTATGTACAAGAAAAGTTTTCACTCGCAAAGTAATACTTAAAGAATTTGTCAAACGATTTTGAAACTTAGAAGGCGATACTTTCAAAACTGACAAAATCATACAGTCTACACCTTTTGCATGCTCAACTGCCACAGGAGATCTCTTAACGGCCAGCTATACTCATTTTACGCTGTAAAAAAAAAAGACTAGAAAAAAAATCTGTCTGACACGCAATCTGATAGACAATCCGTTGACTATCAATTTCTGAGTGGTTTAAAGCACTGAATGACTTTGAAAAGCATTGATAGTCGGCTACGCGATCGTTATTAACTACTGGGAAACATAAGCAATCCTATTGAGTAAGATCTAGAAGTCAAGACTGGCTTCCTTTTTTTAGTGAATAACATAATTAGTGAAACTGCCTCTAGTCTTGTTGATGTCATTATGTAGCAAAAGGAAACTCTCTATTGGTAGTCAGTTGGTAGAAGATTATTTTTTTTCTTCAGTTAATTTGAAGACTGATTTCGGAAAGATAGTCTCTCGGCAAATATACCCCATGGATAACGGTGTGAATGCTTTTGCATTTGCTAGTTATTTCTCGTCAGATTTGGATTGCATTGAGTTTTAACGGTAAACAGTTTTGAAGTAACTCACATAATTTTACGCTTTAATTAGGAGTGGACTGTTAATAGAAGCTTCAGAGGGGGGCTGGGGAATTTGGTAAAGGAATGCTTTGTAGTCTCAGCACACGGGTGGTGTTTAATATCATGATCGTTTTTTTTTTTACAAACGTCGCGTCTTTGTTGGTCTCCTTCGCTGCGAGAGAAGCCACATCTCGGTGAATCAGACCAGATCTGAGGCGTACTCGTGGCATTTCATTTCTGGGTATGATTTACACTGATGGCGAGCCTACGTGAGGCAATGCATTATCGATATTCAGGAAATGTCCGTGGGTGTTAGATATCTTTTTCTTGATCTGTCCCCAAGTAACGTGTTAGGCTTTCCAACAGTTTCATGCGTTGATGAAAAATATGCGCCAGACATAAACCTACCTCGGTGCCTCATGAGTTTTTCTCTTCTGCCCGTAAACTAGTTCTTGCTATAATTTTTTCTTAATTTGAAATTGTTACTGGATAAAAAAGGAAATTCCCAAAACGATGTAGAGTATTAATTAGGAACTGGAAATAGTGCCCGGGATTTTCAGGCAGCACTAGACACGGTCAATTGCGCTAGAGAAAGGACTGGGCTTTAAAAGGCTCCATATTTGGCTGTGGTAGCCACAATGGTGGACAGTCGAATTTTGGTTATTTCTTCGAGTTTGTCTTGTGACCAACAGTTTGGGGCGAAAATCTCCGAAATGCGACGGATTACAACTACTTCATGATCATGGATTCTAGATATACCTCTCTTGGCGAGCTTGGGCAAAGCACTTCGTTTTATACAGCACACAATCGCGACACAAGTCAAGCGTATGATCCTTACAGAAAACGAACGTCAATCACACTCGATGAGAACTTGTCCAGATTGTTTGAGTGCATGAGGCTGGAATATGGAACGTAAGTGGACTCAGATGCTTTTTTTGATCTTTCTGATGTTTTTCGGGTTTTCTTATGGTTCTATCGGGGGGTCACTGTTGTTTAAGTCCTCCTAGAATTCGCATATTAATAAGGTTTTGAACGATAGTTTCTTGTAACAATTGAACCAATTTCAAGGTATTCGAATCAGATAGCACAAATTAACAAAGAGATTAATAGAATTAAATACCGTTAAATTTTGTTTCCTTTGCGTTAAAGTGATCTACATTTCCTCTTGCACTGGATAATTGCATACGTTCATGAAATTTGTGTTAAAATTTATAACCGTGTAATATTAGGTATGGGTACACTTTTTTACTGTAATGGTTTGAGAATGAATGACCATGAAATACGTCTTTCGAATTTTGTCGATGGAACTTAGTAATCGAAATAGTCAATTGTGGTATAACAAAATATCACATATCTAGAAGGTTTATTATTTGAACTTACTTAACATCCATATGGTTTGAGAACAAGCTAAGTTGATAGAAAACTAGCTCGAAAGTTCCCACTTTTCTTAAAGGAAACGGTCTTTTTTCCTTCTTTAATCAAGTGTAGAATAAATTGCAAGTCATTAACAATGAATCAGGCAATTCAAACTATTTACCATCCAGTTGCTGGGACTATAAAAAAAAATCCAAGTAGTTTCCACTCTGGAAAAGCTGTTCTTTGTGTCTCATGTTTTCATTTAAGAACACAATATTGATAATTGAAAACTCAAACAATCAAAATGTTTTTAACAAAGTCAGAATGCTACTCCCTAAACTCTGGTCCTAAAATTTAGGTCAAGGGCTATGAAGCTATGGCGACTTTGGAGAAAGTGGCATGTATCTCTTCTTATCCATTTAACTGAAGATTCTCAAAGTTCTGACTGTCCACCAATTATTTCTGATTAGTTAGGATTAACAACTATTATAATTGTACTATGGATGAATGGAGAGAAATGTGTAGCCTAACCTGATGCAAGGCCAAATCAGGAGAACCTGCTTGCTAGCTGCACTTAGGTGTTGAAAATCACAAGGAATCTTTGTAGTTTTGTTTAAAATGTTTTCAAATATTTTGCTTCATAGATATTCTCTATATAAAAATTTCATCTTCATCAATATTCTTTATATAAAGAATACTAATAAGGATGATGTTTATGAAAACAGCTATTAAGAAGTGAAATGGTGCAATGGCCAGCTGAATAAACATGAATTTACAAATAGAACAACTTTGATGCAATTGAATATATAAAGCGTTCTCCTGTGTCTTTGCATACTTTGTCACTTAGCTTCTCTTCGTGGTTTTATAACCCAATAAAACACTCCTGCTTGTTTATTAAACAGTACTACAACAACATACATAAATTAGTGCCAAATAATAATTTATTTTGGTGTTAAGTAAGGCAGTTTGTTTTGTAGCATGGTATTGGAAAAGGTGGCAATTTTGCCTCCTATAGATGGAAAATTTTTCCTAGTTGCAAGCTCTTATTAAAACCCCTGTTATGTTTGTATTGTTCTATTCCCCCATTCCCTATGGTAATCCCTAATTTT